TGGGGGGTCCTTACGAGGCAGAAATGTAAAGCGCATTGAGACAATGTAATGTTGTGATAAATATATAAATAAAATTGAATTGAAATTGAATTTAAAAAGTTCATTGCATTCACGATATGATGAGCTAATTCCCTCCTGCAACCCATGGAAAACAGTATTGATTTGAATTCATATTGACTGCCCTGTAATAATAATAATAGATACTTTATTGATCCCCATGGGGAAATTCTCTTTATACTTCCCCCAACTTGCACTCTGTATAGAAGAACAAGCTGGCTGTGAAGGGCAGCCACCTGTTGGAGTGCCCAGGGAGCAGGGGATTAAGGGCTTTGCTCAAGGACCCGCAGACATGCCGAGGCTGGGCTTGAACCACCGCAGGCACAGAGGCTTAGCCCACTGAGCCACACTCTGATCAAAATGAGTCAGCAATGAGTTTGTCTCTCTCAGGTGGTGGTGTCAGGGGTTCTGATGCTGTTGCCACCATAAGCTCTGGTTAACTGAGACACGGATACATGTGTCGCAGCGGAGCGGGCTGATTCACTGGAGTGTACCGCTCACCTCCCCTCGCAGACATGCATGAGACCACGGAGCGGGCTGTGTCAGCACAGGTTAGGGATATGCCATGTCATTCTATCCATTATGGCACAGGTATAAATTTTTATGTGATAAAAAAGCATCATCTTGTGATATCGCAAAGCATTTAGGGCTGCCACTAATGACTATTTTTCTATAGATTAATTTATCAACTATTTTACTGATTTACAGTGCATTGCCACACCCACCACACCTCAGGTGCAGCCATGTGGCAGGCGATACCTCAGCACCACACTAGTCTGACTGGATGAGTGTGAAGTTTTTTTTGGTGGCTGGAGTGCCAATCCTGCCACCAACCCCCAAATTGGAGGATCTCCTTATAGCGCTGGATGTAGATTAACATCATACCCAAGACAAAGCAATTGCAAGTTAAGGGCCTTCCTCAAGTGCGCGACAGAGCAGAATCACTCTGGGCATTCACGAGACTTGAACCAGCAACCTTCCAATTGCTGGCACAGATACCTAGCCTCAGAGCCACCACTCCATCCTAGTGCATGGTCCTTACCTCCCTTTCCTTACCGATGATCTGATTAATCTATGCAATTAATTTTCCTCCAGAACACCAAACTGACCATCTCATTTAAGTTAATTTTATTTTCACAACCACATACTGTCAATGTAGGGCTTTAGATAGTGGACACCACATTTTCGGCACTATACAGATGTTTTCTTATGTGCACAATTTGATAAGCCTAAAATATTAATAAGAGATATATTGTAATGCCCAAAAGTGAGTAATTTCTATAAATTTGGCATATGTTATGTTTATTAAATTCAGTTAGAAAAGCAAGCCACATGTGACTGTTGCTGGTCCACGATCAGATTGCCCAGCAACAATCCTAGAATTAACCTTCATAAACGGATCTTGGGTCTGCAAATTATTAGCGCAAAACTATTGAACTCAACCAGTTGAAGAAGCCAAACCACAGATGCTAAATTTAAAATTCACTGGCACATGCAATCAGATTGGTGCGATAGGCATTGATTGGCGTAAATTGCAGAGTGCACTATGTGCTTCATCATAGCGTTAATTTAAACCAATACTTGATATAGGGTTGCAACTGAGCTGGCAGGGGGTTGAGAACCACTGTTTTAGCCTAAACGTTTTCTCAAACAGTTATTCAGTGGAGATTCTAAGGTAGCAGACTTTATATCTTTAATGATGAGTATACACTGACCTAAAGGATTATTAGGAACACCATACTAATACGGTGTTTGACACCCTTTCGCCTTCAGAACTGCCTTAATTCTACGTGGCATTGATTCAACAAGGTGCTGAAAGCATTCTTTAGAAATGTTGGCCCATATTGATAGGATA